GACTCGTAAGAGTAGGACGCGTTTCGATATGCTCAACCAAAATACATTAGACACTGTTCTTCTCGTCGTCGTCGTCATCATCATCATCATCGTCATCGTCCACATCATTATCATCATCATCATCATCATCCTCGTCGTCGTCGTCGTCGTTGTCGTTGTCGTTGTCGTTTACGAAGAAGACAAGTATAGTGAGGGACCATCCATATTACTCTTTCTTCTAACTAATTGCTCGTCGCGATCGTCGAGACGAGATGACCGAACCGCATATATTTACCCACAGTTCGTTTCGTCCTCGATTTCTCTTCAATGAGACGACATAGCGTGCTCTTAACCTTTTAACCGTTCATGCCGTAATATCATTTAAGAAGCCAATGTATGTACAATTGTGTTATATACGGCGCGACGCGTGTACTTTTGTCTGCGCGTCGATATATTTATAAGGATACATATATATGTGCTATTTTTATTTGTAAAATAAAATGAAAAAAAACAGGTGCCGAAACTCCCTACTATTGTCCAAGCTCCAATATCCTTTAAATGAAAATGAAATCAGTGTATTATATATCACGGAGTTAATATACAAAAATTAAACATATATATAAAATATAACTATATATATTTGTATAAATGTATATAGACATGTACACGTATCATATATGATACAAATCGTACGTATTTTTTCTTTTTCATCCGCTAGATTATCAAATTGCTAAGTTAAAAATTCAGTGTATATATAATACTTCTTACATCATATTTAAAAAATATAGTACCTCTGATTATAAGAGAAAAAAAATGTCAACGATGGTTTTTTAGTGTCCTCTTCTCGTTACATAGCCCGTTGATCCCGCATACTCTGTTTCGTCGAACGGGAGCGAAGGGCTCTCTTAATTTACGAGAGAAGATGCTTATTAAATTGTGTCATCCTCGAATAAGGGCTAACGCGCTGCATCCAATTTGTGCTGCTTAATTAATTCTCTCCAATACATCACGGGGACCGACCAATAAAGAAACCAGGACCCGACGATGCCAACGAGCGACGATGCCACCACAATATTGTCCCTAATGAAATCTTCGTTAATCGTGTCTTCTTCTAGTTTTCTAACGCACACGATGATGACAATGATGGTCAATTGAATCCTCAAGAATTTTCATAAGTTTGCGAAAGTATTTCATAAATTTTAATAGAAATATTATTATCTGTCACACACACAGGTTTAGCAATTAATAATTATGTGTCTTGATATTAAATTCATTGCATCAAAATTACCATCTATTTTTCGCTTGAAAAAAGGACCAAAATCGTAAAAAATAATGAAGACTATTTTGAAGAATAACAGATTGCACGATTAATTTATAAATAAATACTAAATTTGTTTAATTAACTGCTACACTTATAATAGATATAATATTACACGTGTGTGTGTGTGTGTGTGTGGTTTTATTCTTGTTGGAAATTCTTTGATCATTATAATTTTAATGCAGGCTTCAATAACGACATCGATTTTTTCTGATCGAATATAATAACGTACTTTATTGAATTGCTCTCGAGACAATGTGGTAAACAGGGCGAGTTATGCTAACAGGATTTATTCAAGAATTGATGGAGATGTATTGAGTTAGGCATACTCAGCTTAACAGCTCTAATCGTACATTATATAGTCATCGCAGCCGCAACGTACTTACATTATTATCAAACCATACACTCACGCATATATATATATATGTATATATTGTATTTACTTATGTAATGTAATATTTGAATTATGTAATATAGTGTGGATAACGAATCGTTGTTTTTACGATCGCGTGATCCCTCCTTGTTGTTTCTTTCTATTTTAAAGTTCTCACTTGTAAAAGTCCCAGACGAGTCACATATCTTTATGTAACTCTTACTTCAATTATGGGCTGCGGCATGTGCATCGACTTTCTTTGGTATGTGGCCATGCGGTCGCCCTCGTAATTCCGTTATTCGCCTGGTAGAAAAGAATATGTCAGCAATTGGTGCAAATTGAGATAATTTAATGGAAAACTACATTTTTAAATTGAGCAATTACGTCGATTATCCGTGCGCCAATCACAGTGCATTGCGAGGCGACGAACTAAAGCTTTGCGTTGTGACAATTGTTATCGGAAATAAATTATTTTCTTCCCTTATTTTTTTTATTGGAAAATACTTTAGGTTGAAATTGTTGAGAGATCGATTGATTTTTTTTTTTTAATAAATAAAATCGAATAATTGTATCGTTGAAAACGGAAGATCGACGGATTGTCGTGTAATTGTCGAAAGCTTTGATATAACGTGGATGACAGGACGGAAAGCTAATTACGAAATTATCGCCTTTAATTGCGATTCGTGCTATTTGCGCAATGGCGTGGCGGTAAAACGCGCGCTATTGTCGTCGCGTGCCGAATTATTGGATGTTGACGTCATTGGAGCCACTATTGTAAGCCGGCGTCCCTTTGTTCGTAATTGCCGACACCAATTATACAATTAACAGTGCGTCGTAATGAGCACTGAGAATCAGACGCGTTTGCTTCTTTGCCGATGCTTTTCGTAAAACGTTTCGCACTTTCGTTTATTGTTCGTCTTTCATTGTTTCTAATCTTTCCACGATTGATTTAGATATATGAACAAATTCTGAAAAGAAGAAATTAATTAATATCAATAAATTAGAATAATAATAATATAAATAATAATATAGTATTTTATTTTTATTAATTATAAATTATATATTTATTTATTTTTAGTAGTTTCAGAAATTTAGTATAATCCTAATATTAATAAATTTGATGCTGAAAATATTTCTATAATTATATTAATCATCGTAGTTGCGTTGGAGGAAAAATTATTCTACCAAAATTTGTCCACCGTTTACGAATTATCCGAAGAAAAAACAAAAGCTTATCTTTTAGATAAGAAACGCGAGATGTTAGTATAACGAATGTGTAACAAATAGAGTGCGTGCGTCGACGTGTAAACAACGCACGAAAGGCAAAGTAACCGCAATCTCTTCGACCCTTATGGCTCGCGTAGAAGAGTAGTAGGAAGCAATCGGATGATCGCACAATAAAACACTGGCATAATGTTTCGTCCGGGTGGTTGAACACCGCAAATACATCTTTCGACCGCATGCTGGTCTATTTTGGAAAGGGGATGCTGCGTTCCCCTAGACTTTCGAAACTGAGAAAAAGAGAGAGAAGAAGGGACAACGATGTTGGTGGTAGCCCTGACAGTATTCGCTCTCGTGCTTGAGGGACACCCGTAGGCGCCCTTCGTGGATTAGCTTCGCTACATTTCGTCCCTTCTGTCGGTGCGTATGTTCCATCGTTATGCATCTAAGTACTACTAAGTCGATAGTGTAAAGGCAAAGAATGATGCTCTTTGACGTTTGATTATAATCATTTCTGATATATATATGAAATCAAATGAAATATCTGCATTTTACAAAGATCATTCACACATATATTTACTTATTTTATATTCAAGAACAATGAGAAAAAAAAAGTAAGATACGAATTTGACATGTGCCAAATAAAGAAACAGAAGTTTCAAGGACGGACCTGATTCTCGAGGTACTTAAATTTGTCGTCGCGTAAAGTTGCACGGACGAAACGAAAATTGCTTGAATTTCATTAAGTTTGGCAGCAATTACTTTTGATGACCGACACGCGAACGTAATTACGTTGGTGCAAGGGTCTGGAGGGAGAGAAGGGTAATAATTCGCTAATATCAATTTCAAATTTCAATTAGTATCATCTCGACATCCGCCTCTATCTCTGTTCCTGGACCCCACAGGAGCACGCCATGATCTAAAATTCAATTTGTCCCTTCGTACCCGAAGCCGCAAAGAGAGAGAGAGAGAGAGAGCGCGAGAGTGAGAGAGAGTTCAGTAGAAGAAGAGAGAGATATGTAGATATATATTGAGATAGCAAGAGGGGGATTGTTATAAAGAGGGGGCACGGGAACGAGATATGGATATGTATGTATATACATGGTGTCTGAAAAGAGTCTAAAAACTTATATTTAACTAATATTCTTTCCATTTCTCTTTAGTTTCCATCTCATCAACGAGGTATTATCAAATCTTTCATACCGACAAATTTAATAAATTCTTAATTAATGAATCCTTGCGATAAGAATTTGATTATTCAAATTATTCTCATCGTGATGTTTTAATATTGTATATATTTGTCGTTATTGAAAATAGAAATGAGCTTTTGGAATATAATTCGTAGGATGCTATAAAGACAAGATTAGAATAGAAAAAAGCGAATCCAGTTGGTGGTATTCATTCTAAAGATACTCGCGTGCACGTTCTGTTATTATATAAAGTGAGATACGACCCTGTAGGCACGCGCATGCGCGACACACATGCCAACCCATTATAAATTGATAACTCCGCCGTTTATTAAGTTCTACGACCGATGCCCGCTTAGGCAAAGAGCCCTCTCTCCATGCTCTTGCTCTTCGCGTTCTACCTTTCCCTCTCTCGTTAGCAAAACTCCAACCTCCCACCACTACCGTTAGAGATACATACATTATTTATTTACGGGAGTTTACAATCCCTCTAATGGGGATCGGCGTAATCGGCCATCCAGCCATTCTCTCTTTCTCTCTCCTTCTCTCTCTCCCTCTCTCTCTCCCTCTCTCTCTCCCTCTCTCTATCTCTTTCTCTTTCACTCTCGAATCTCCACTCATCCTGTTCTTCCATTTTCTCAAACATTCACTCTTTGTCTTTCTCCTAATCATGTTTCAACTCCCCCATTTTGGAAAATCGCTCGTTCGTATAAGCCTAACAACTCCTAAGATTTCCATTTCTTTTTTTTTTATTCCTGAGAGAAAAAAAGAAGAGAGAAGGAATAAGACTCTTTCTAATTTCTTACGGAACGTCACTCCTCGTAAATTCATCAAAATGAACGTTAATTTTTCTGAGAATTATTCCACCATAAGAAAGATAGAGATAGAGAAGAAGTCAATTAGAGAACCCGCATTGTTGCAGATTGGATCTGTTCACGCGCATCAAACGAACAACCATCAGCATCAACATCTTCAACAACAGCAACAGCAGCAGCAACAACAACAACAACAGCAGCAGCAACAAACGCAGCAGTCGTTGCAGCAACAACAAACGTCGAGTCAATCGCAAGTGCCTGGTGGGGCAGGGGGTGGAGGGCCGGGGGGTGGGACGGTGGCCAGGGCCGGAGGAATGTTCTGCTACCACTGCCCCCCTGGTCTTCCGGCACCAAGACTTCCACCATCTTTGGAGTATCCCTTCGCACCGACTCATCCTTGTAAGTTCAATTCCTACATTATTTTATTATTTCTCTTGATTTAACTTTCATCTCGATCTAAAATTTCAAAATTATTCTAAATTCAAAAGAGATAACATGTTTGATAAAAAATCCAATGACATTATTTCCATTGGATGTTATTTAATTCGATAAATATGAAAGTACGATTATTCACGATAAAATTTATATCGCAGGGGTTGACTTTGGAGTTTATGCGACTGTAGGTAGGAAGGAAGGAAGGAGTTTTACATTTTTCAAACGGCTCGAGTCTCGTACGCATATTCCACCATCCCTCTTAATTCTCCCAAGAGTGTCTCGACTGTTCTGTAAAAATATGACTTTTCAATGGCGATTTAAAGGAAACTCGAAGGATATGATGTTGATGATAAATTATGCAAGATGATAGAAGAATATTAGAGGAGAGAAAATCGCATTGGAAAGTAGAGAATGAATGTCTTTTTTTGTAGGTATGCATGTGTATGTTTATATATATACACATATACGTGAGAGAGGGAGAGGGAGAGGGAGCGTGAAAGAGTGAAGAGGATAGTGTTACCGGATTGATTGTGCGGCACTTGCTCTGGCGGAACACATCGATGAAGTTACATTACCGACTAGACCGAGTTACGCAAAGTGGACGCTACAAACTGGACGGTCGCTAAACTTAATTTGCACTTCGAACCAACTTCCGGTTAAACCGCGTCTCGACGGTAAAGCCAAGCCGCCTGCCTGACGAAACTTCGTCAGTAGTTTGCTTATTCACTGATCGTTTTCCAAGTCGAATTCCATCTTACTACGAATAAACTCGAAAACTCAAAGTCGTTTTACTTTCTCTTTTTACTTGAGAAAAAAGAAAGAAAGAGATAGATAGATAGATAGATAGAGAGAGAGTTTATTGGAAAAACTGAGCAACGAAAAAGTGACGCGATACTGTAATCGAGTTATCCTTAGAAAAGGATGTTACTTTCTCGAGTTAATTATTTATGCTATTGCAGCTGTGATTTTGAAACTTTCGAATAATCCGATTTGAACGTAATCGAGGAATAGTATATGATATCTATAAACCAATAAAAAAAACTTCAACATAATAAATGAATTAAGTTGAATATAATGAACAAATATAATGTTAGGAAGTGAATGAAAATTGATATCTAATAATACTCAAATGTGAAGATTGAAAGTAACGAATTAGACGTTAGTTTATAAAGAGGGTTGTATGTAGTACATGAGAAATATTATTTTCTCGTGGAGAGTCGTTTTAAAATAGAACTTTAGAAGGTTTTCGATGGAGCGTCAGTACCGTATGCGGTGGATGATTGAACAAATGACCTCGGCAGAGAGAGAGAGAGAGAGTAGGGGGTAAAGGAGGGTGGTGGGTGTCCTCAGGGACGTCCGGGCACCCTTCCAACTCCCTGATCCCCCCGTAGCCAATGCTGCAGACCCCTCTTTGCCCCCCCGTTGGGATAAACAGATTAGGTAACTACGTGATAAGTCGGTAAGTGGGTTCACTCCGGCCCACGGTCCAGACCCACCGACATTCGCTCTAACATCTAACTACCTCGTTAGTGTCATTAGTAACGGTCGGGGTGTCATTAGATTTAGTTCTACGTGTAGTTTTTCTATGGAGCATTCTCCTCTCTTTTTCTTTATGTCTTTCTACCTCTCTCTCTATCTCTCTCTATCTTATTCGAGAAGAGAGAGAGAGAATGTTGTTCGCAATAGTTTCTTGATAGAAGCCGTGACTTGGAAGGAATCATTCGAAGACCTATTTGATTTTTTTTTTCAATTCGAATTAACGTGATTAGTTTCTAAATTCTTAGGTAGATCGTTGGTTGAAAAATCTCTTGGAAGGTAGAAATGTAGCAACTAAGTAACTCAAAATCTAATTTTTGATGAAGTAAAAGAAAAGAGGCATAAAAGTGGATGAGGCTGGTAAATAAATGTACTGGTGTCCCAAACTGAAATCCACTCAAGATCTTAGATTAGAGTCGGGCGAAGGTAAAGCTGGGATCCAGACAACTCATACAACTCATCGAGAGTCGGCTTAATCCAATTTATTAGTATACCCGGAGTCCCGAACGGAGTCGGCTCTTGCCAACGACTTTTGCACTTGCGCGCACTCCTACACATTCTCTCTCTCTCTCTCTCTCTCTTTCTCTCTTTCTCTCTTATTCGTCGTCTACTTGACGGTATTTTCTTTCAACGAGAAATAACTTAGATAACTTGGATCAAACATTTTTTATAGAGTCGTACAATTTTGCAGATTTATTTTTCTCTTTTCTTTTCTTTTCTTTTTTTTTTATCTCTTCATATTACCTATCAGTTTTCTTATTCTGTACTAATATGATTTATCCCATAGTCAACGGAAAACAAAAGGTTAGGTAATTCTTGGGGAACGATAAAAAAATGATGACGAGTAATCGTAGTTGCACGTGACCACCCAACGACAATCCTTTTTATTCACGTCGAGTTCTATGCAAGCGTCGTCGTGTTTACGCGTGGCTACGTTTTCATTATACTTCATGCAACGATTTATTCTGATCGGCAGACAAAAATTTCTTTTTTAATAACAGAAAAAAAAACAAAATAATCAAATATCAAAGCAGATGCTATGATATAATATTGAAAAATAATTTGACTACGTATTGCAGGTGAAAATATTCTACAAGAGTGATTGGACGAGTTCTTTCTCTCTTTTTCTCTCTGTCTGTTCCTGGAATTTCGATTCTCGATACGGCAAAAATTTGATTGATACTTTATCGAATCTATTTTCACCTATAATATAATCTTAAATCTCTTTTTAGTTTTTATATATATTATATAAATATGTTGATGTTACTCAATAAACACTTTTAATATGTTTTCTCAAAAATATGAATTATTTCGAGTAAAGCTTAGAGTTTTCACACGATTTAACACTGACATATACATTAACGCGAACTTTTAATACAGATTTACAATTATTAAGAAATCAAGAAACATGTGAAATTTGTTGAATTTTTGTTCAATACTTAAAATCATTATAATCTTTTTGATAACAGTTTTATTTTCATCTAATCGCAAAGTGGCTTTATTTTCCTGTAATTCTATCATACCGAAAATGAAGATAACTATCGTAAGAGAGAAAAAGAGAGAAAGAGAGAGAGAGAGAGAGAGAGAGAAAGAAATAGAAAGATAAAGAGAAGAGAGAACGAAATACCATGAATTTTTATGAGTTTAGGAAATTAATTTGTGTTTTTCGTTAAGCTTTGGCTTAGCGCCGTGGTAATTAATTGCGCTGATTGCTTTGCATCATTGATGAGCGGTTCCGGGTTTCGTAATATCCATTCTCTCTCCCTCTTTCTCTTCTACCTATACTCGCTAATGTTTCTACCTCTCATTCTCTTCTATTCGTGTTTCTATATATCTGTAGGTACGCTCGAAGCTTTTGGTAAATCGCGTATTTTGGATTTCCGCGCTATACAACACAACCCTTTCGTGTAATCGTCTGGAAAATCTAAAATTGAAATTGATCGGGGGAACAACGTTTCTCTATAGATATTAACGAGGAGAAACATGTATCACTTTTTAATTAATCCCTTTGATAATCGGATCGATCACTTCCATATAAATACCTAGTATACATACATGCATACATATATATGAGTCGTTTCTTTTTTTTAAATAGTATAAGTCGAATTTTGAATACAAAATTTCTTAAAACTAGTTTTAATTGAATTTCATTTAATTTTTATTGTATTTTTAATGAGACAAAACCAATACAGTACAATATCCTTTAACGAATTCGTTATATAAAGTTTCATTTAAAAATGTTAATGCATAAATGTATCTTTATTTGAAAATGATATAAAGTCCATTTGCAGTCCTAACAAAATTCTTGTTTTTCTATAATATTTTTATTGATTGTTATCGGGTAGTGTAAAATTTATCTCAAAATAAGAATTAATAGACTTATACTACTTTATAGACAAATATTTCATATAATATAGATAGATAAAAATGATCCCCGTTTATTTTTTGATTTCAGATACAAGTTATTCGGCTTATCATCCAGCTTTGCACGGAGTCGGTGAGGATTCTTTCGTAAGAAGAAAACAACGAAGGAATAGAACGACCTTCACTCTTCAACAATTAGAGGAACTCGAATCAGCCTTTGCACAGACTCACTATCCAGACGTCTTTACGAGGGAAGATCTAGCGATGAAGATCAACCTTACGGAAGCAAGAGTCCAGGTGAGTTTTTAAAATTGTTTATAAGCGAGATCAAACAAAAATAGAATATTAAGTGTAGCAATTAATTCAGTGCTTTGAAATTAAATTCATTCTATCAAAATCGGCATTTTCTTTTTCGTCGGGATATTCGACAATTACCTAATCAAAGTTATCGAAAGTAATGAAAACTATTTCGAAAAATAACAATTGTGTATATGATACTAAATTTCTTTAAATGTCATCGAATTAATTGCTACACCTAATAAATGAAAAAAGAGTTTGGTGATTATGTCTTTGTTTATGGTGCACATAAGTACATACGTCCTTTGTAATTTTATTTCCATAACCGTGTCAGAGAAAGAGAGAGAGAAAGAGGAAGAGATAGAGAGAGAGAGAGAATTATAGGAAGAAGCAAGCGAGAGTCGCACCCCTTAGCCCCATGAGGCATACTGACACCCTCGACCTGACGTAATCTCCTGACAGAGTAAGCCGGTAATCTCTGGGATTACTTTGTATTCGCGGCAACGTCCTACCAGCCATATTTACTCCCGCCGCGGTAATTCGCTCGGAGAATCCACGCAACAGCACCGATTCCCATTTAGAAAATCCTTTTGCCTTTCCCAGATAGATTGATGTTTTTTCTTACCATCTCAGTATATTACCATATACTTTGGCGTGGTCACTTTGTTTTCTTTTTATTTATTCATCGAAATCGGAATAATGGGATAATCGAATTTGTTTTAACGCGCGATAAATTGTGATCAGCAATGATTGTTTATTTTTACAATTGATGGATTATAGTTGTCAAAATATCAATAAATTATACATTTAACACAAATAATTTAAAAAGTTTAAAGTAATAAGTTTGTTAATGAGATAATTATTAATCGTTGTTAATCATTTTCATTTTTTTTACAAATAGAAAATTACAAAAATAGAGTAACTCTCTCTCTATGAATAAAGTTAATTGATATTTATATATTGATTATATATATATATATATATATATGGAAATTATTATTGTAAATACTAGTGATTAAAATTCTATTTAGCGACTAGGTGCGTTAAAGCAATATTAATGAAAATGGTGCTAACCTTGTTACAATTTTTATCATATACTATTACATATTTTCCTATTAACAAAATCCATTTTAATTCAACTTATTTTGCAACTTAGTAGCAACCGAATGCAATGTTAGGGGGGGGGGGGGGGGAGAGAGGACCACGGTGTTGTATAACGAATAAAAATTCCAATGAAATAAGTACATTATTATTACTCACACATGAAACGTTAATAATTTATTATTATTATTATTATATAAGCTTATATAATAATAATGAAAATTTTATACTGGCCTACGGGTTACGCGACCTTTCGAAAATTCTGTGGTAGTTTAATATGTTAAAAGGATCTAGAATAGATATTTCGTAAAAAAGATTTTCTCTTGCGTCAATTTAATATGCATTGTAGAGGGGAGGCTAAAAGCCGAGAGGTAGATCCGATAGAAGTATATACAATAGACGAGATAAAGAGAGAGAAAGGGAAAGATAGATGGAGAGAGAAAGAGAGAGACGTAGATAGAGGCAGCCATGACGTAATTACGGCGCAGACTCATTGTTTCATTAGCAAAGACAAAGGGAATCTGGAATAATGGACAAATAGGCGCGTTTATGTAGTGCCTGTCCTCCTCTTCTACTCCAATTAGTACCTCCTAGGGGGTGGAGGGGGACTTCTGCATCGTTGAGGCACGTTCTAAAGCGCTCGAATCGCGTACACGAATAACCATTGCACACTCTCGCGCCCAGCATTTATTCAACCTTGCATCGCTAGTTACGCTTAGCTTTATCCCCATCGTACATCTGTGTATATCTGTACGTGTATGTGCCGTATTTGTCTCATTCATTCTTTATTTTTCTTTTTCATCGTATACGAAGTATAAACAAATGGAATAGGAATCTGATTAATTAAATTTATTTCACACACACACACACACACAAACAACAAAAAATAATATTTTTCTAATTCAAAAATATGGAAACATGAAGATAGAAGTTCATTTTTAGAGATTATTTGAATAATTTCGTAATTATGTTACAATTAAATAATATGAAAGAAGGGGTGAAGATTTGTACAAATTTGTGGACGAAGATTTGAGTATCTAGTTGACGGAATTTCAACGATTATTTTTTATTCTTAATTCAATCACAGTACACTTTTGGGTTTAGGATTTATTCAATCTTTTATCAATCTAAAAAAATAGTAATTCGGCCATTAAACTCGTTTAAACTTTAATGACAATGCACTTAATAGGAGTATAACTAGTTACGTCAAATTCCTAGGACTCTGGTGTCAAAATCACGTCTTATTAAATTTATTTTTTTTTTTTTTTAATGAAAAGGGATACCACTGATACTTTTGAAGACTCACGAATATTAATAAATAACCATCGTGCTTAAAAAAAAAAGGATATTTATATTTGAATATCATTTGAAAATATGATTTTAATTGAAAATATTTTGAAGACCTGAGGTTACTAGTTAAATGTTAAATAATTTCGCAATAATGTCATAATCAAATGGTATAGGAAAGATGCAAAAGTCATATGATCAATGAAAATATGCAGATGGATTCTTAACGAGTCAAAGATTTGCACGGTAAGCACCGAAAGATTAAATACCACAGTGGATACGAAAAGAGTCAAGCCGTGGCCATTACCGACATATTTCGGATTAAATTCGTATTGAAAAGGGATGAAGAAGAACGCGCGTAAGAAATAGAAGATAAAGGGAGAAAGAAAGAAAGAAAGAAGTATATACGAAGGAGTACAAGAGGGAGAGAAATAGAGAAAGAGAGAAAGAACGAAACGCTCTACGCTGCGAGGTAGTCTCGAGGGAACCACGGCTTTGTTCCCAGCTATTACTCGCCCCCGCAACCCTTAGGATATTATTATATCTCCCCGTCTGCCAGCATAGCTACCCGCTCTTCTCGTACCACCACCACCACCACCTCTATTCTACCTCTTCCTTCTCTTTTCGAGACCGTGCTTGCCTTCGAAACCGCACCGGCCTCCTGTAGAACCGAGCTCATCGTATTTATTTTATTAAACCATTTCCCAAGCCTCTCTCTCTCTCCTTCCCTACTACTTTCGAGCTACCCCCCACCCCCACCTCCCAACGAAACTTTTGCCGTAGTAGTAGTAGTAGTAGTAGTAGGAGGAAGGATAGTAATTTCGAAGACTCCTTACTTCATCCTCGAGGCATAGAATTTTTATACCCGCCAAGGATCGATTCGATATTCGCGTTTACCCTATTTCACACTTAACATTCTCCTCTCTTATCCTCTTTTCGAGATACCATTCTCGATATTTATCGATCGTTTAAAAAGCCATGAGACGCGATTTACGATCAGCTTTAAATTTGCTTACTTTCACGTATACATTTATAATATTTGTAAGTAATCTATACATACATATATGTATACATTGTACATAGGTGATACATTTGTACAGTGAGTCACAGGAGTATTTGTATACCTACTGTCACACAATTTTTTAAACATGGGATAATTTTCTTATAATATTAGATACAGAAATTAATATGATTTTTTGAATAATTATTTTCATTTGTTTTAAAAAGGTATCCCGAATTAATTTTTACAATCTAATCTAATATATCAAAATTCTTATACACAGAAACATATTTTAGGATAATGAAACTTTTAAATGGATATCCATTTTACTGCGAAAGAGTATTTTATTTAATGTGACTAATACGAACATTGATCTCACGAGATACGCCTAATTGTCGTCAAAAATTGATCCAAAAGATGGCCAATTTGGTGCAATAAATTCATTATCAAGGCATCGAATTAAACTTTGCATTTAATATTTATTTTCATCACGAGACAATGCAAGAACGAAAATAAAAACAAAATAATATGGTAGACGTCGAGAGAATGAGAAGAGCGTCATTATGTTATAAGAGAGAAATAAAAAAAAGATAAATAAAATAAACAAAGGATGACAAAAAAATAAAATAAGCAACGACGAGGAAACTGAGAAAAAGAGAAAGAGGAAGAGAAAGAGAGAGAGAGAGAGAGAGAGTATAGCTAGGTATAATAAAGTCTATTTCAGTTGGTATTATGTCAAGTTAGTCTCGTTAGCGGAACTCGAGCTTTTTAAAAAGCACTCGAGGGCAGTGCTTGCTGTTGGCTCGTTGAACATGCACGACGGAAAAGAGTACCTCGACAATCTTCTCCATGCACGTTCCTGCCTCAGAATGCCACCCGGTACATGCAATTATCCTTGCACATTCGCGAACAAGATGAGAAAACGTAGGCTCCCTTGCTTCCAACTTTTTCTTTCTATTGTTTTTCTCATTTTTCTCTATGTTCTTTTTCCCTTATACCGCCCCCTACCTCCCTCTCAAACCTCCCACCCAACCCCCACCGACAACGCCGAGCAGTCGACGAAACACAAGCTTGTTGACTTTATTTGAACGTCGTTATTAAATTTTGAATTAGGTTTACAAGCATAAATGGAAGCGATTTGAGTTGAGGAGTCCCTGTGTAAATCCTGTAGCGTGTAAATTTTCGTTAATAAATGAAACGTTTTTATTCGTCGACGCCAATTGAAGTTGAGAATATGCATTTTTATGTGTATGCATATAATATACGTTATAATGTGCGTATATGCATATATATATATAAATCACATACATATGTGATTTGCCATTTTAACGAGGAAATTACTCGAAAGCATAAATAATAAAGGCTTCCAGTGGAATTAACGGTAAAAGTGAAAAATACGCGGGTATTTTTGCAGGTTTGGTTTCAAAATCGTCGAGCAAAATGGCGGAAAAGCGAACGACTGAAAGAGGAACAGAGGAAGCGAGAGGGTGGAAATGGTGGTGCTGGAGGAACAGGAGGAGGAGGTACGGGAGGAGGGGGCGCTGGAAGCGGTGGAGCCTTGGAAACCTCAGGATTGGCACCACCAGCTTCTTCGTCCGCTGGTCCTAGTCCTACTGGTCACGATCCTGAAGGTATATCAAAATAATATACCACAAAAATGTACATACTTACATAATTACATAAATTACTTTGACAAGTTATAGATTTTATTAAAAAAATAAGGATAAAAAAAGATACTATAATTCCACGTTTTACTTACGCAATAATATGATTGTTGTTTTGTTTGATAGGTTGTTATGAAATAAGAAATTTTCATCGAATCCTTTTAACAATTATTATTAATACATTATTATAATCTTTCATTGTTTCTTCATTCAAGTAACCGTTTATATTTTTGATCGAAAAAGAGAAACCTTCCAGTATTATTTTATATAACTTCAAACGAGTAATGTATCCTACACAAAAATCATTTTTTGTTGTTCTTGAATAAAGGACAAAATAAGAAGGAAGTCAGAAAAAAAAGATATGTAAAAGTTGACTGATAATGCAGGTACAACGAGTAGTAGTGCTGCTGATGCCGAGGACGTAGGTCCAGAGGGTGCAGGTGGTTCGAGAAGCCCAAGTACAACATCCGCCTCGGTCAGTCCCCGGCCCCAGCCGAGTCAGCCGTCCCTGGGTGGCGTCTCGACGCCACCACCGACCCCTATAAGGGCGCCGCCACCACCGCCGAGCACCGTAGGGGGCTTGGGACCACCCGCTGAGAGGTAAGCTTTTAGCTTCGTTTGTATTTACGTCTTTAGGAAATATCTACCTCTCTTTTCTCTTTTCCTCCTCACTTGATCTTCCTCTACTAGACTCCTTCCATCTTCCTCCCTCCCTCCCACCTTCCCTCCTTCCCTCTCTCTTCCTCTACGAGTTTTCCTTTCCTCATCGTTTATTTTTCGTTCCTCACGAATCCCCACGATTTCAACGTACAAGCACCGGTGAACACGTCACCCGGATGCTGGATACGCGCCATTAAACTACCCCCTTGAAACCCCCGAACACTCTCCCCCTTTCGTCATCCTCCTATTCGCAATGTTCGTTCTCTCTCATCGTAGACTAAGCGTTTCACTTCCTCTCATCTTTCTTCAACTCCAAACCACTCGTATAATCGTGATAATCGTCGGCTCGTTAAATCTCACTGGTTTACACACATGCGAGCTAATCTTCTTCCTATGTAATGTAATGGATCGTTTCGATGTGTTATACTTTTCGTCTTGTAACAGTTAAGTATATTATTACACGTATTTTTAAACCATCGTCATGCCAAAATCTTTCAACGATTTTTCTTTTTTTTCTTTTTTTGTTATTCGAAATTCAATTCATTCATTCAAAAAGCAAAGGAACAAGCCAGTTGACAAATGATAAATCACGACGAAATTTCCACAAAAGAACTTGACGGAAATATTTATTTCAACAAATGATCATTTTCTCAAAGATATAAAAGAAAATAAATCTTCTATTTCTCTTTCTTTCTCTCTCTCTCTCTCACACTCTAAAATGTTAATTTTCCCGTATTACATATTTCACGAAAAAGTGGATTAGCGTAAACAGTGATGAAGAGGAACAATGTCGCTTTAATAATGACAACAAAACAAAGCTGGATATTTATATTTTTAGCTTTATTATTTTATTTAACTTTAAAATGAGGAAAAGGATTCTCAAATGCATTTTGTAATTAAATCCTTTTTTCGTTTATACTTGTCGAATGTACAAAACAATCGTATACTGATGGCAAGAAAATGAAAGAAGAATGAAATAAAAGAAGAAGATGAGAAAGAAACTAAAGAAAGAAACAAAGGAAGAATAAGAGGAAGGATGAGATAAAAGGGAAGGAGAGAAAGAGAGAGAGAGAGAAAAAGAAAGAGTAAATCCGTCGGTTGTTCAACGTAATCCCAAAGACGAGTCTCCTCCATTGCATTGAGCCTAGGAAAAGGTAAGAACAATGTCGAAAATGTAGACACGTAGAGTACATTCGTACGAGTTAGATGGAATACAAGATGGAAGAAAAGGAGAGTATTCGTATTTGTATCCGTATTCGTGTGTATATGTATATGCACGTAGAAGATGGGTATGGGTTTGAGGAGGTGGATGTGGAAGAGGTTGCGGGGGAAGGGGAAGGGGAGAACGGTGGAGAGACGGTGGAGGTTGGAAAGGTACTCCTTCGCCGCCTCCGCAGTTGTAATTTATTTAAAACCGCTCGCCGTAAATATATCCTCATCATTTATTCAGATGTACGGGAGCTTCTCGACTACAGGGGTGTAAGCTTTGCGTTCCTTCTTACCTTATACATATACATATATATCTACAAAGATACAACCGCCGTGTATATCTATGAGGATGGTTCTCTCCTTCGCCTTCTCTATCTTTGTATTTATCTATCTCTCTCTCTCTCTCTCTCTCTCTTTACTTTCTTTGTTCACTTTCAGAGTAGTATTTCTATTCTCTTGTCGTCAATTTAAATCACTCGCAAGTTTGACATTTTGACATTTTCGAGGCATCGAAAATTTGAACACATTGCGTATGGATCACGAAAATAATAAACCTTTCTCGTAACCGCGTATCGACGACTCGACGAATTTCACATGATTCGATTCAAGTAAATTCAATTTGATAGTAATATTTAGGAATTTATAAGTGTCAATGATAACATTACTTTTGTGCATTGTCATAATTAAGTTTTCGGAGCACTTTAGCACAATGTGTTAATCAAAGTTTTTATTTCATTGTAAATTTAAGAAATCATATTAGTATATGAATTTCATATGTTTTATCTGAGATTTATATTGCCACGAATAGTTGTATAAATTAATCGATTTAGTATATCATTTCCAGTGCTCTAAAACGTGAATAGGAAGTCAACAAGGAATCTCGTGGATGATACGCGGGTATATACGCGAACGAAATTAGTTTGGTGTATGCTCGAAAGGCAAGCGAGCGCACGTAAGCAAGGTGCACGGTAGGCTACGCGGCTAATTGCCGCTAATTATCGCGCTTACAGGCAGTACGATACCACCTCTTCCCTCTTTCTCTTTCTCTATCTCTCTCTCTCTTGGACGTATTAGCAACGTCACTAGGAACCATTACCAGCAACAGCAGCATCATCCAGCACCACTACTACCACTCTTGCAGATCCCCGCCCCCCCTCTTCGTTCTCGCGGTTTCCCTCTCCTTTCGTCCTTTCCACCACCAACAGCATCGCGTCGGCCTACCTAAAATCCGCTCTCGGGTAAAGGATTCTACAGGAGTCAGACCGCCTTTCCCACTTCCTTCTAAATTCCACCTCCAGAGTACTATCCGACCAGCTGAATACCGTTAGCTAGCAAAATCTTCTCTTCATCTCACTCTTTCTCTTTCTCTCTCTCTATTTCCTACTCTTCTACGAACTCTGGAAATTACCACTTCCCTTTGCCCGCACAGCTCTTTCGCCCGAAGCTCGTTACATTAATTAAACAATATTTGCGATTAATATTTGAGATAATCATCAGCGCCTCAAAGGAGTCTTCTCTCGAAGGATGCGGAACATCGCACGTGTTAATCGGGTTAGCGCTTCCACGGGCTATTTCTCTCCCTCTCTTTCTCTATATTTCTAATCCGAAATTACCTTTTCAATCGGATCTTTTTACTTGAAGAAAAAAAAAAAGAAAAATAATAAGAATTAATTACTTTTTCGCTTACATACGATGATTTAGATTGGTTGTTTTCATTTGTTTTTCCAGCACTCCTGGATTAGGAGCAGGCTTTAGGCCAGTGGAACCACCGACCTCGCTTTTCTTCTCGCCACACTTAGCTGCACAATTTTCACCGCCACTATTTGGTAGTAAAGTTGTAAGCAGCACGCCAACATCGTTGACCTCTACGACACCTTCTCTCTGGAGTACGAGCGATCATCGACCGGGTAGCTTGCAAGAAATGTTGTCTTGGTCACCAGCAGGCTGGCCAGGTTCATTGTGTGGCTGCTGCAAACCTGGTACAGGTGATCTTCATCGTAGCAGCAGTCTCGCTGAATTGAGAAGAAAAGCTCAGGAACACTCGACAGCCTCAGCATTGTTAGGCGGACTAGCTGGTTTTCCTGGTGGTTTACCCTTGCCCTTACATCTACCCTTACTGCCACCTCTCTTAGGTCTATCCAGAAGACCTGAAAATCATCATCATCATCTACCAAGCGTCGCCCATCAGATTCAACCAACAACGAAAGAGGATCCCTAGGATCATCTGATCGTAGATCTTTCTTTGAATCTAATATATCCTACCTACGCGCGCGTTTTCTTGATAACTCGAACCAACTTAGCGGTTTGTCGGATAACGTCGGGTTTTTCACTCGGAATTTTATCGAATTTTTGCCAAATACGATGAATTACGTCGTTGATACATTTTTGTGATTGTTCGAAAATACTTTACAAGCACGCTCGAGATTTATATTATATATATATAGCGTCGATTTGCATTTATCCTCGAACCCCGTTAGCGTATTCTTTGTTTCTGTTCATATCTTCTTTTTTTTTGTCTCGTTAATTGCAAATGTAGATGCATTGTTAAAGTTATATAGATTAGGTGCGAAATCAAACTACGAGAACTTCCAAATCGTCTTCGTAATTTCCCGTCGTTCTTTGAAAACATTATCGGATTTATAAATTTTGTTCAAAAAGTAGTCCACTCGTTTTGTGTTTATGCGGGAAGTTATTTCGATTTTTATTCAAGCACAAAATCCGATATTTTCGCGACTAAATGCAATTGTACTTTGAATATTTTCTAACGATAGCAGATTAACGGTGATGTGTCTGAGTAGCCGTGTACTGTTTGCATTTGTCAGCTGGAACTAACGAAAAATTAGAGTACTCGAGTTTTTCGTAGAAAATTTCTACTGTTTTTTCGTTTATACTTACACGAAATAACATTTGTTTAAAATCGTATCACCGTCCGTAAAGCAACAATGATACGACGACCAAACTATCATACGATGAAAAGATGAAATATTAGGTAGTCGTAAAAGTTTATTTAAAGTATAATTCAATTGTAATTAATATAAACCAATATTTCATCGATGTGACATTATTATATTTCATTGTGAATTTAACGCAATCAAATTTTTACGTAATAAGAAAATAAATAATAACGTTATATAATATTTTTAAATGATCGTTTGATAGAAGAATTTGCGACAGAATAAGAAAATAATGAAACGAATGTGTGTACGATAAAAATGAAAAAGAAGTGAGAGAGAAGAGGACATTGTAGCGCTGCGAATGTGTCATATAACATATTTGCTTTAAATTTTATTTAAACAACGCAACAAATTGTTAATCTCTAAGAATTATCGACATGCGTTTGATACGCCGCATTATTTATGATAATTTCAAAATCGTACGATAAACTCGAGTACTGGAAAATATCAAAAAATGTAGTCTTGTCGAAAAAAAAAAAAAAAAGAAGAAACAAGAAAAGCAATCAAAACAAACGGATCGAAGTTAAAACGTTTGATTCGATTTATACGACTACTCGTATCATGCCTTAATAAAAAGAGAGAGAAAAAAAAAGAAAGAGAAAGAGAAATATGCGATGATCTTTGTCGACGAACGATATAAAAGTGAAACGAAAAAAAAAAAAAAATAAAAAGAGAGGAATACCTCTTAGCCGTTATTCTGAATTTCGTGAGTACAGCGTAGAGGCCAAAAAGAAATACGTAGCTAACCCATAGAGACGTGTATATTACCTCCTGATTAAGTGTCAGTGCTAATTAAAGATAGTCTAAAGAAAAACTATGTTACGAGCTAGCGATTATTATGTAGTGTATGAACCTGTGGTAGTGAGATATTCGAATAAACTTGTTCTCTCGTGATAAATTGAAAGTTTATGCCTTCTATCTGTCATTTCTCGTGTTTATCTGAAAGCTCATACACCCCGACTATCCATATTGTGTTATTACTTCAAAACATTTGCGTATACGAAACGCTCGTTATATCATTTCCAAAGACAAATTATTATTCCAATCAACACTCTACACACAAAATGAATCCTATCGACTACATCAGATTTCCAATTTCCTTCATCGTATTACTTTATTTATTTTCATTTTTATTTTCTTTTATTTCAACGAACTTTAACACTAGATATTCGCTATAATCTCGTATGAATTAAATATTTATATATATATATATATATATATATATATATATATATACACATGTATATATACATAAAATAGATATAAACCCTTTGGCTGTTGAAATCGTCGAGTTAAATTAATGTTCCACGATTTCTTGAGTGAGTAGTAATGCTCGACTTTTGTCAGACGTACGCCATCGGGAAACACTCGTACGTTCGTATAAACGTAAAATCTTTTGCGCATCGTTGAACAACATGAAAATGCGGAGAAGTTATAGCGATGTAGGAAAGAGGGAGCGAAAAAGGAGAGAAAAAAGGAAAAATGAGAGAGTAGTAGAAGGAGGAGGAGGAGGAGGAGGAGGAGGAGGAGGAGGAACGAGGAGAATAAGTGGGAGAAATGGGGTATGGGAAAGTGGAAGGGGGTGGAGAGGGGTGGGAGGAAGACGGAAAGAAGAAAGAACAGCAGAAGGGGTTGTTGGCAATCAATGCTTCTCATAAGGAAAGCTCGCCCTCTCTTATGGGATCAACCCTCTTGGAGAGTACGCGGAGGGGTTGCAGAGAGCGAGAAAGGAAATGACGAAGGTTGGAAGAGAGAAAGTGCGAAAGAGGGAGAGTGGGAAGAAAGGAGAGGAAGAGACGAGGGGTTGTCCTCGGCTCGACCAACCAGAGACAAGACGCCATTGATCGGCACGTGGCTCCGGGTTGGTTCAACGAATTCCACGAGGGTGGAGAGGGTAGTAGATTTCAGCTCGGAGGTGCGCCATCGTGATAGTAGTGGAAGTGGTGGAGTGAAGAAAGTGGTGGTACTCGTGTTGGTGGGGAGACATAGACCCGTTCTGCACACTCCGTTACACTTACTGGTAAACCGTATTAATCAACGACATCATGGTTTATCCCCCATTCTTCCCCACCACCGGCACCACTATCAACACACGGCTCTATCGTTAAACTAGTATGAGTGCGGCGTAGCGCGCGCACGCCTCGTCTGCTTCCACCTCCACAAACCCCATCAGAGTCTATAGGGAAGACGCGTAGAGCTATGTAACAACCTCGTAGCACTCTGCAACACCGTGTATAATGTTGGACTTTCGGGGGAGTGGGCTGGAAGGGGAAAGGGGGGGGGATGGGAGATAAGGACGGGTAAGAAAGGCGACGTTAGAAAAGAAAAAAAGATAGGGAGACGAAGGTAAGGTGGAAACAAGGCGCCAAGTTACTTTGGGTGAAGCGATCGACGCTTAACGATGTCTCTCGATACTCCTTACGTGGCTACCTACGATTCAACGAGCCATTACCACCCTTCTTATTTTTCTTCTTCTTTTTCTTCTTCTTATGTTAGCCACGGCAAGGGGAAAATTCGAATGTCGATCTATACGTTTCTCTACCCTTTTCTATTTTCAAATCCTTACGATCTCTCTTAACCATGCTATGCTATGGCTGTGTCGTTTAAGAAAATCTTTATATATATCTCTCTTAGAAAGAAATAAAAAAGAATATATTAACGATAATCTATTGTTAAATATATAAATAAAATAATATGGATTATGTATTTATCTTTTGCTAATAGAAAAATATATATAAAACGAACAATAAATCTGAATCCTTTTGAAAAGTAAATGCGATATTTCATGATAAAACAAACATTTGTTTCTCATTTAATCCCAATCCTCTTTCTATCTCTCTCTCTCTCTCTCTCTCTCTCTCTCTCTCTCTCTCTCTCTATTCGTATGCAATTACACGATTGTGAATCAAGAGAGAAGATGAAATAGAGGGAGCTTTCACGATATCGCGAGATTCAACGGCAAGGAAGCGTAAAAGGTGGAAACCTCCTTGATGCCGGTAGACAGTGATTAATACCGCAACGTCGTCTGGCGTCTTCCGCTTCTCTTTTCCGCCCACTACTGCCGCATGCGTCGGGATATTCCAAGAGAGACAAAGAGAGAGAGAGAGAGAGAGAGAAAGGGAGGGGGAGAGAGAAGGAGATAGTTTTCAGCTTGGCTCTCGTTCACTCCCCGAAGCGCCCTTCGTGGTAAAAGGTTTTACGAAATTCATTGTCAGGCAATTTGCATGTCAAAGCCAAACGGGAACACGCCCCGCGACTTACAACCTCCATAAAGAGGAAGGGGAGACCGTCTCTATCGTTTCTTCGTTACACCTTTTTCTTTTTCTCTCTCTCTCTCTCTTTCTATCTTTCTATCTTCTTCGTTTCCGACATGATGGAATTACAAGAAAAATGAGGCCACTTTACGGACATACTGTTAAGTCACCGAAAAAAGTATAATGTTATTGGATGGACAATATATCGATTCTAGTTATTCGATAAATTTAATTGAATTTTCTTCAATTGTTCTTTGATTATAATCCTTATAAATCTGCGCTACGATGTACAATTAATCTGTATAAAGAAGTTTTTTCATAAAAAATAATAAGAGTTTGAATGAAAAATGATTTGAAAGAATATCGATCAAAATATTGCCGTGATAACTGTATAATACGAAATACCTATCAGAAATAAAGAAGAGAAAAATCTGTTGGAAAGGATATCCGGTATAACGTCTTATAATGGATAAAGCTTTACCTAGAAGACGAGAATGGAGAAAATTTATCGAGGTTGTCTGGGGAAACTAAGGGGATCAGAAACTGCAATGATTTTCAATTTTCGAATTCACTTCGATAGCCGTTCTTACTTGTCCTTAATTTTCGATAGAGATATTGGGTATCTACAGGGTGTATATGTTCGAAAAACTTTTTAATATTATTCCAAATCTATTGAAAAGATCATTTTGCTAGCGGTTGAATGATTTTCAATCGAAAACGATTGGACGCTCGCTCGGTGTAAAACATAAATCCACACGTATGCATTCACACATACATAAATAAATATGTAGATACATATATAGATAGATAGGTCATTTCGAGAAAGCAGAAACGGAACGGAATGAACCTGGTCTCGTTCGAAGGTAACGAGGTTTTCCTCGGTTGGTTAATTCACCGCGGATTGAATCGCGCGAAAACACGCGCACTAACGTAGTTTTCGACTAGTCTCCCCCTCTTCAACTCTCCCTCTTTCTCTCTTTCTCTTTATCACTCTCTCTCTCTCTCTCTATATATATATCTATATCTCTCTATATATATATCTCTTTTCCTCTCTCGCTTTATCAATCTGTCCGCCGGAAGTACCGACTATGTTCACCGTTGTTGGATACACTCTGCACTTTGATCGGCACGGATTAATGATGAAAAAAAATGCAGCCCCTCTATTAACGCGATCACTCAACGTGGTGTATATCAAACGACGTTTTTACGCAAAACTCCACTACTTCGTCCATGAAAAAGCATAGATAACATTTTTCAACGTACTCGCCACGATATAGAAATCTTCGTTTTTACAACGATAACTGATCCTTTGTCTCTTTTTTTTTTCTTCCCTTCTCTCTCTCTCTCTCTCTCTCTCTCTCTCTGTCTCTTTCCTTTTAGTATTTTTTCTTTCTGGAAGAAAAAAATTTGTTCGATATATTAAACAACAGTCTAGCATAATAATATTTTCATTATGTCGAATCCTGAATATTACATTAGAAAGTTTAAACTTTTTCAACTTAAAAACGATAACAACGTGGATTTCGCGAAGTGGGAAAAGCTTGCGAGTTAAAGAAAAAAAGAAAGAGAGAGAGAGAGAAAGAAAAAAAAACACACGAAGGGGAAAGCGTTGAAAACGAACGGATTAACACGAACTTACATTTGTATACGTTAAATGTACTCGGAAATTTTCTAATGGAATTTCATCTCCACAGATGGAACTCTTTCCATCAATAGTAGCTTTATAAATAACATTTTATATTGCGCGCATTACTAACATTTTATACGCATTCACTGCACTTTGATCTGCGGGCCATCCGATGGAAAAATGCAGCCTGTATAACTCTGTTATATCCTGCTATACGAACGTTTTTACGCAAAACGGTCAGAGAAAGCGCATGAAACAACGTAGATTACATATCAAACCAATACCGACTACTACGAGAATTTTTATACTAAACTTTCGGACATTCAAATTACATGATCAAACGAATAATAGTTCGAAACAACTCGACGAGATTTTACCAATTGTAATCCAAATTTTTATTATCATTTCCAAGATATTCAAACATTTAACTAACGCATTATTCATCGTTGTTGTATAAATGAGAATTAATGAGTTTATAAGATAATTAATGTACAATATCATAATGATATTCCTCGCGATTATTTATTATTCATACTTTGTCTACGCATACGTCACGTATATTTTAATTTAATGATTTTTTTCATCATATAACTAGAGAAATATTTTTATCGGTTTGCCGATCGAATTGTTGCTCCAAATGAACCAATGGACACATGAACGGACGTATGAACGGACGGACGGACGGACGGACGGTCGGACGAACACGAGAAAACCGAAAAAAAGATATCGATGAAAATAAAGTAATAAACTACCCCAAAGCGACGGTCCAGAGACATCACTGGGAAGCAGCAGGCTGGCCTTTTAGAGTTTGCCACCACTTCCGCAAAATTTATTAAGTGATTTATTTGATGTTTGCCCTCGCAACCGTACATACCGGGTGGTTATACGCGATAACGTTTTAATCCAAATATTTCTATCATTTAAATGAGTTTAAATCCTTACTAATGAAAATTACACGATACCGAAATTTTATCCATCGAAAATAAAAAGAAAATCGAGAACAATTGTATTCATTTT